ATGTTCCATTGGGTATGGCCCTTAGAATCCTTGATTTCTAGTGTAAACTAAGAGGTAAGCAATTTTAGACTAGCAAATTTATAAATATATTGTCTAGTTTCCAAAAGAAATATGCCCTTTTAAATAGTACAGTCTTTCAGTATGACACAAGACATGGTTACTAGAAGACCAAGGTTTGTCTTCGGTCTCTCAACAATATAAAGCCAAAAGTAGATAGACCTATATTTGGTAATTAATGTCTTAGTAGTTTATCATGTTTGGAAAATGATCCAAATATTCAGTGGAATTCTGTCATTTAATTTATCTTAGCAAAAACTCTAAAGTTTTAAATTACCCCAAAAGACTTGGGTATGCTATTTTTTTTAAGCACATATATCATAAGACATAATTGTTCACCTGAAAACTCTTATCCCATTTTCATCTGTCTAAATTTTTTGTTTCCAACATTTATGTTTAGATTATTCACAGAAACTTCATGAAACATTAGACAAAGTCAGCCATCAATCTCAAGCAAATTTTTCTTTCTGACAAATTTGCAGAAGAGGTAACATGAACTTATTTGACTAATAAAACCCAAGTAAAATAAAAGTATTATATTTATGCTAGTAACTCTAAAGACATGCCTGTTTCAATTAAACTAACAAATTTAGATTAGCTTTAATTCCAAATGTTTTCCCAGATCACGTGATCTTGAAAGCCTTTGGATGAGTTTCCTTTATATTTCCTGTAATTTAATTTATATAAGTTGCTTAATTTTCTTTAGGCCAATTCAATAGAGTTCTTTTTATAAGTTAATTTTGACAATACCACTTGGAGGGAGAAAAATAACTCATATGTAGAACGTACATATGTGCATATAACATACAGACAGACACAGAGATGCTGATAGCCTGGTACAAAACTCAAAAATAATTGGATCCAAATTGTATTTCTGGCAGATGGACTAAGTTAAGGTTACCTGTTTAGTTGCATGCTGTAAGGATCCTTTTAGAGCTGTCTTTTCAGGGTCATTTTGCCTTTTTTAGAAATTTCTGCGTACCGAAGGATGCATTCCGTTGTCTTTGAGATCAGGTGCCCTAAATAGTGAACCTGAGTTTGAGCAAATTACACTTTTTCTTTGGAGACTTTATATCCCCTTAGGACCAAGCATTTTAATAGGTGGATGGGTGCCGTCTTCCTGTGAAGAGGTTTGAGAAGGGGAGCAGAGAAACAGATTATCTGCATATTTTAACAAAGTAGAAAACAGAAAACTTTACAGAAGGATTTGCTCTGGGTAGGAGAGGATGTCAGAAGTGTGTAGGGGTCAGGATCAGTGGGGTGTGGAGGGATAACTGTTCATTGTTGCTCAGAGTTTCTGGACACACTTCCATTCCTGGGTTTTCTCACAGGTAAAATAGGATATTACAGAGAATGGGTTTATTGCTTTGGAGGCTTATTTACTGTCAAATTCTAGAATTATTAAATATTTACTTTAGGCTCCCGTGTAGGCCCCTGTCTGAAGGCTCTAGAGAATAAGCCATGGGCTGAACTGATAAACAAGCTGTGAGGAATGTCACATATCCAGGCTGGATAAGAAATGGCCTACTTAATGTATCCATGAGGAATAAACAGACAATAAAGTCTGTTAAAAATTCTTTCTTTTAAAAATTTGGACATAGGCATCTTCATGGAGAGATGTGAGCAATGAATGCCTAGTTAAATGTCCAAACTTAGGCAAAATATGGAAGCTTTAAAATAATAGGTATTTGATTAAAAAGAATATAATCAGACTCTAGCCAAACCACCCTAGTAGTTTAATATCTTCTGCATAAAGTGACTATTTTATCTACCTTATAATTAGAAAAACTGATAATAACACTTCTTGAAAGCTTGTAGGATTGCTTTTATTTTTCTTTGAATAGGAACAGATACAACATAGGGAGAAATAATAACAGAAAGGAAGATACTTTATATGGCTATTCCCATTCCAAAAACTGTTAGAACGTGAACAGAACATTGCAGTAACAGACATAAAATATGTGAGAAAGAGCTATCTACATCTTTAAATTCTCTTCTAAAGAAAACTTCTCATGGGTTTCATTAGAGAACCTGTCAGTCCCTGATACTTTCCCCTGGGATTGAGCAGTTTTGGTTTTACATATAAACGTTAGCCAAAAACAAAGTATTTCTCTGTTTCCTGCATGAAATATATCTGTCAACTGTGCAATGAAAATAATGCAAAGATAGAAAGACCACCAATGTGACACTGCTCATCCTAACATGTTAAATGGCTTCTCAGGAAGCAGACAGGACTGTAATGTGGTTCTGCACTTCTGGGTATAAAACATATTTTAGAGGAACCTTCTCCAGAACAAAACTTCTAAGGGCAGAAAAAAAGATAGCATTGGTCTCCCCAGAATTAAGTTCAATCTAACCTACAAGCATTTTTTCAATTGACAAATTTCTTTTTTTCTTTAAGCCTTTCAATGTAGTGGCACAGTTTCACGGTTGCCCCCAGCTTAAGCCCCATGCACTTCATCATCATATCGCTCTTGAGAAGCAGCAGAGCCTTCCCATCAATGTCATGTTGCCTAAAGAGGTCAGTGAGCGGGGTGAGTGTCTGAGGATCTACATGTTTCAAAAACAGGACCACTTCTTCCACGGACCAGGTTGAAGGGTCATCAGAGAAGGTCTGTTTTAGGATACCCGGGTCATTTCCAACTGGTGAAGAGGGAGCGAAGCCTCCCGGCATGCCAAGAGATGAGGTGGTCTGACCAAGGCTCCTGTTTTCCATGAGAGGTGGGTAGGCCGTCATCTCCAGGTTGTGCCCCGAACTGGGCTCGCGCCGGGCCATGGCCGAGGTGGGTCGGGCCAAGGAGTAGAGACTGCTGGTGCTGCGGGCCCCCGGGCTGCCGGGCCCAGAGGAGCCCTGCGTGGGCTCATCGGGCGTGTAGCACGGCTGGTCGGCATCTGGGGAAAGTGGCGGGCTCTGGCAGAGGCCCAGCTCCTGCTCCTGGTCGTGGGACTCTGGCTCCTGATCCAGGGACTCGTCGGAGTGAAAAGACCCGCCTCCGAGGTTGCTATAGGAATCAATGTCCCGCCTTCCTACTGGTGTAGTTGGGCTGTAACTTTCAGGGTAGGAGAATGTAGCGCGAGGTTCCTTTTTGCGCAGTTTCTGGGATTTGACCTTTTTAGAAAGCAGGTAATTATAATTTTTATATGCATATCCAAGTGGCTTACGAGTTTGCCACAATGACTTCATACGAAGACGGTGGATTTTTGTAACCTTTCCATGAAGAACATCGAACTTCTTATCCAGGTTTTGAATAGCATCATAGATGACCTGGCAGTGAGTAAGGACATCCAGAACTGTTTTTTGGTGCTCTTCGTTGTAGGCTGTGTCAGACACAATATTTTCCTGATTATTGAAAAATGCCGTATTTGGTTCGTATGCGTAAAGAACAGTGTTATCATCATCATAAGCAGAGATTTGTGTTCTTATCACATTAATTTCACTGGAGCCGCTTGACATCTTTTTTATGCAACAGGAGCAGCTCCACTTCCTCTGAGTTGGGCCTAATTAGTTATAAACTTGCTGGAGGGTTTATCTGCGAAAGCGCTTGGTCACCTAGGACTAGTATACCTTTTATTCCTTTTCCGGCGCCGGAGCCTGCCACACCGGCCTCCAGAGGGCGCGGGAACCGGCTAGCGGTGGCCTGCCTCCCGGAGCGGCGACCGGTAAAACCGTTAGGGCTACTCGAGTCCTCGCACCGGAAGAGAGAAATTCCAGCACTTCTAAGAGGTCTTGGCTTGATAAATGAATAGAGGCAGAGGAAACTAAAGAGACAAGGGTAGGTATCTCCCAAGGGCCTGAAAAAGAATAGGTTCAGAGGCAGAACCCATGGCAGAGGCTCGCTCTATGAGAAACATGTTAGTACCTGTCTTGGAGAAGGGAAGGAGGAAGGTGGCACTGGACGCAGGGCCTGAGACCGAGAAAACGGGGGCTGGGAAGAGAGACCTCAGGAGACATTCTGTCGTTCTTTAACTGTTTGCTTGAAATGAGCTTGAGGAGGGATGCAGTTTTTAAGTTTAACACTGTCCAGGATCCCTGAAGGGGGAGGTGGGGCTCCAACATTTAGATTAGTGGGATCTTGTTTCTGTGAGGTCTTTTTTCTTTGAGCAGAGGAAAAACATTTCTGAACAGTCTACAAGTCAAATAGCACACTTGCAAGAAGAATAGCTCGATTTCATGGAGTTGGGACAAGTGCTAGTGCAGTTCCAATAGGAACAGCTGGATTCCAAAGGAGCTGGGAGGAGCTGGGGGGAGTGAAGGAGGTGGGAGGGTATAGCTCAGCGGTAGAGTGAGTGCTTAGCATGCACGAGGTCCTGGGTTCAATCCCCAGTACCTCCATTAAATAATAAATAAATGAATAAACCTAATTACCTCCTCCCCCAAAACAAAACCAAAACCGAAACCAATGGAGTTTGGCCAAACCCCGAGTACTCACAGAAGGGACAAAGACTTTATACAGAAAGTTATCTAATGGAGGTTATTTAAGTTTTGGTTTGCTGATGTGGCACCCCTGGCAGGAGCAACTCCATTTTGCGTCTAGAAATTTTTTTCAGCAGTAGGTAATGTTCCCTGGGAACTCTATAATTGTTCTTCTCACTACCTGTATTAAATTATCTTGCTTGAATAAAATTTACATCATTTGTTTCACATGGGCAAGTTTTGAACAACAACAAAAATGACCAATTCATTTTTGGTATGTGTTCTTTCATTCTAGAATTTTTATGAGCCTCAATAATTCTTTTTATGCTACACATACATATAAGGGTTACAGATGTAGGGGATTAAAATCACAGATTACTTAAATTACATTCATGTTGAAAAAAGACTTTAAGGGTCTTGAGAGTGGGGGAGCAACATTTGCTACCCCAAAATGTGTCTCTTTGGCATGAGGATTATTTTAGTCTGATTATTTATAAGAAACAGAAGATTCAGAAAAGCTTCCTTTTTTCCCCCCCTTTGTTTTTCTTTGGGGGGGTAGGTAATTATGTTTGTTTATTTATTTGTTTGTTATTGAAGTATAGTCAATTACAATGTGTCAATTTCTGGTATACAGCATAATGTCCCAGTCATGCATATATATGCATATACTTGTTTTCTTATTCTTTTTCATTAAAGGTTGTTACAAGATATTGAATATAGTTCACTGTGCTATACAGAAGAAATTTGTTTCTTATCTATTTTTATATATAGTGGTTAATATTTGCATATCTCAAACTCCCAAATTTATCCCTTCTCACTTCCTTTCCCCTGGTAACCATAAAATTGCAACCTAAATGTTCATTGACAGATGACTGGATAAAGAAGTTGTGGTATATATATATATATATATATATAAAATACTACTCAGAAGTTGTGGTGTGTGTGTGTGTGTATGTATATATATATATATATATATATGTATATATATATATGTATATATATAGTGGAATACTACTCAGTGATGAAAAAGAATAAAATAATGCCATTTGTAGCAACATGGATGGACCTAGAGATCGTCATTCTAAGTGAAGTAAGCCAGAAAGAGAAAGAAAAATATCGTATGATATCACTCATATGTGGAATCTAAAAAAAAGAAAAGAAAAAAGAGAACACTGATGAATGCATCTACAAAACAGAAAGACTCATAGACATAGTAAGCAATCTTATTTATTTATTTTTAATTTTTTTTTAAACGGAGGGACTGGTGATTGAACCCAGGACCTCCTGCATGCTGCACTCTACCACTGAGCTAGACCCTCCCAACTTCAGGAGGACTTTCTTTTTACCCTCTTCCCATTACCTGCCTGAGAAAATTTAGATAAAGGGCCTGGTCTGGGAGAGCACTATCAATGGAGATACCTACAAGAATCTGGGCTAAGGGTGGTGAGGCGTTCTCAGCATGACCCAGAGATCAAAGTCTCCTCTGTGACCTATTGTCTGCATGGCAAGGGAAGCGTTTGCTTAACAAACAATTGCCTAAGTTGTCCTTGGGTCTCGTTTTCCTTATGAGGCCTCCATATATACGTACTTAAACTTATTTCCAACTGTTAATCTGACTTAGACCAGTTTAATTCTTAGACCTGCCAGGAGAACACACAAAGGCAGAGGAAAGCTTTTTCCTTCCCTAACAAGAAAAAATCTATGTCAATTCCCCACTTCTTTCTTCACTTCCACATCTGAGAGTCTGCTGTTTACCACCTCTTGCTGTAGGTGCTGGAGGTCTAGAGATAAACAGGATGTGGGCAGGAATAAGAGAAGATTCCTTCTGTGAAGACCCAGTACTCTCTTGAGATAAACAAGATTCTAGGAAGATATAATTGTGAAATCTCCTGGTGGGTGGGTTGGGATGGAGCATGGTAATAAAACGGCTGATCCTTTCTGGTATTTTATTGGCCTGACCTGCAGGGTGAGCAGATATAAATTGGTCAGGGCACAGGCAGTGGTCACCATTCCAGTAAGAGACCAGCTTGCAAACAGGAATTGAATCGAAACAGGGTGAGTAGTGGGCATAATTAACAGAGTAGGTTGAGTTTGTGGATAGATTCTTAAGCCTTGTATGGCCTTAATTATTATTGGCAAATGTTATTTGTCAAGTAATGTACTGGGTGCTGCAAATGCCCTCTTGCAGCTAAATCTAGTGGGAAGATTGATTAAAGAAGTAATTACAGGAAAGTGAGTAAGGGTTAATAAAGGATAGAAATGTGAGAACAGACAGTGAGCATTTTGTAAAGTCTAGAGTATAAAGGGCAATGTCTTGGAGCTTCTCCGAGGAAGAGAAAAGCATCGTGGGTGGGTGATCTTGTGTGTAAAGTCCTGGAATGAAGAAAAAACCTGAAGGATTTGAAAACCTGAAAGAAGTTCATTTCTGCTGGCAGGAAGAGGGGGTTCATTTCTGTGTGGCACGAAATGAAACTTGAACAGTAGGTCAGTTAATGACAACCTAATACCAAATTAAAATATGAAAAACAGGTCATATACTGACAGTCTAAAAGAGAATAGTTCTGATTTTTGGTTGTTTGCTATCGGCATTAAGCTAATTATTGTCTTCCTAAGTATGTGTTTGTGTTAATTTTCTGGATTTAGCATTTATTTCCAGCATCCGGTAAAACAGCTTATGGCTTCTAAGAGAACAGCTAGCTTAGTCCTCGTGCAGGGAAGGGAACCATTTGATCACCTTTGAAGAACTTAAAAAAAATGGAGAAAGTGAAACCTTGACACCTCTACTCATTTTCCCCTGCCGTCGCCGTGAACTTGTGCAGCTGGGCTGGAGCTGCTTGTGGCTGGACAGCAAGGCATCCTGCAGGGCAGGTTTTACCCGTATTGTTTTGCTCTGGAGAAAATTTATAAAATTGTAAATGCGCAGGAACTTTTTTATTGTCTGGGATTCAGGAACAAATCCAAAATGCCGATTGCTTAACTACAAGCTAAAAAAGCCCTGAATCTCCAGCCTTGTTCGTTCACTTGTACTTTCAGATAATATTGTAGTTTCAGAGTGACTTAAATCTTGTCATTGCTAAGCACTGAACTACTGTCTAATTTAATCTCTGAATTTAGAATTGGGGTGAAAGTATACATAATAGGCTATTATCAGATTTCAAGAATTAGATTCCTAAACTTGAAGTCAGCAAACTTAGTAGGCTTAAGCTGTGCCCTCGAGTTTCTCTGGGACAATTTTGTGGCACAAACAAAGGAATATGAGGAGAAAAGAGAGTCAGTGAAGGGGGGCCAGGAGTGAGGCGGAAACGAAAAAAAATGAAATCGATATAGAAAAGGAAATATGAAGTGATTATTATAAGGTTTCCGTGGAAAAATCAGCATATCAAGGATGTCTGATAAGGCAAAATATTAATTACAAAAATAGATAAATTTATAATGATTTAAGTATGAGGAGATATAGATCTGATGATATCTCTACTAATTTCCTTGTTTTGGATATTGAAAGGAGGGGAAATGTGTGAAGACAGAACCGACAGACTCCTTACAATGAAAGCAGATACGTTGTTTATTGATTCTGATCTCCCTCAGTAATAATTTGAAATGCCAATGATTTTATAAGCCTTACTCCTTCTTCTTTTCTAGTTTAACTCTTTGTTCTTTTCCCTAAGCAGAAAACACAGGTAAATTTAATTTTTTTAAATAGCCGTCTAAGTCATTATCAAGTTTCTCTGGCACTTTTCTTTTATACTGAAGTCACAGTTGATGTGGGAAAGAACTCTGCCACAACGGAGTTTTCCATTGTGCTCTCTCTTCTATATATGACTTATCCCTGGGGACAGAATACACCCAGAGCATACTGTAGGCAAAAGCAAGCTTGGACACGTTGCTTTTGGCTCTGACTGTTTGTAGACCTCCCAGTTTTGTGAGCTGATCTGGTAAGTGCAGCTTGTTTTCCCTAGACTAGACGCAGGCCTTAGGAACCCTGAGCCCTGCTCTCTTTGACCTTCTTCAAATGGGACACTTCCCAAGGCCAAGGCTGCCCCAGGTTCCACATAAGCTGAGGGAGAGGAGAGAATTCCTCTCTAATTCTTTATGGCAGACCAATTTTTAAGAAGTATCATTACCTTTAGTAAGGACACTTGCTTAGCTGTCAGACCATTGTGGTCACCAATGGCAATAATTATGTTCTTTATTAAATATCTTCTATATAAAGAAATAGAGTACTCCTTGGGAAACTAGTTTTGAAATTGGCAATTTAGAAGGTTGGGAGGGATTACTGGTAAAGGCAGAGAACCCTCCCCCTCCCCACCTGACTGAAATTCATGGTGATATCCTGCAATTAAAAAAAAGTTTAATGAGAGATGTACTATACATGCATTTAGTGAAAAAAGCATAAGAAGAGTTTAAAGAACAACAGCAATAAAAGTAAATACCTGTGTATCCATTATCTTGGTCTAACTTTTTCAAAAGTATGTGTTAGGTTAGCTTTCTTCATTCTTCCAGTCTGCATTTATTTTCATTCTGGCCAACTGTAATATAACCTAATTTCAAAATAAGTAAAAAAAAATCTTTTATAGAAGTAATATTTGAATAATAGTATTGCTCAATTTTGTAACCATCTCATAAATATATTTTGATTAAATCAGATAGTCTATATGGAGTATGTTCTTTTCTGTTCAAAAGGCTTGTGATTCTAGGCAGCTATTCAGTTACCTGAAATAGTGTCTCAAGTTTTAAATATTTTAATAAATTGACAATTTGTTTTACAAAATGTATGTATTTATTTGGAGAAAAAGCAGACTGAGAACTTTGAGAGATTTCCTGTTTCAAAATTTGGCGATAAGTAGGTCACTCTCTAGAGGAAAGTTTCACACAAAGGTTAGCTCTCATTACTTGTGAAATGGAAGTGTGGACTCTATTTTCTGCTTTTTTAAATTCTGTTTTTGTTTTGGGAGGGGAGTGGAAGTGTATAATTTTCATGCTCATAGCCTAGTGCTAACAGAATCATATGAAGAACTGATACAGTGAAAATATGTAAAATGAGAGTATTTTAAGGGTAGACCTCTCAGCCAATATTCTGGCCACAAGAAACTAAAGAAAAGCTGATCTGAGTTTACGTCTTCCTTTTGTTACTCTCCCACAGAACTAGGCTATTGCTTGATTTTTGTTCTACTTCTGCTTAGAATTTTAAAACTTGGAAAGAATGAAGGGAAATAAAGTATCATAATCCTATGCACTGATTTAATGTCTTTGGGTCCATTTCTGCCTATAGAAAATCTTTAGACTTAATGATAGAAGTTTACTGGTGAAGGAAAAAAAAGCCCTTTATGAAGTTAAGACTATATTTTAAATTTGATGCAAATATCTAATAGAGCTTAAATAAAGAGGGACTTTGTTCTATTTTCAATTAGAGAGTTGAATTATTTTTGCTTAACTTGTACGTGTTTCCTTGATAAAACAGAAAATTTATTGAAGGCAAAAATGCTTTTGTTCTCTCTGAAAAAGCTAGTTAGCAAAGGGGAAATCACTGACAGGAACTCAATAAATACCCATTGAATTGTTACCCATCACATCTTACCTAAGGCTCTTATCATATACATATGTGTTTATATGCTAAGATCCCAATGTATGAATTTCTTAGCCATAAGAACCTACATGCAGTGTAATTTCCTTAATGACCCTTATGCAAGGGAACTATTCAACCATTTTTTATTTTGAGAGTGCAGCTCTCATTTACTTTAAATAATCCAATGAAGAATACTGTCCTGTTTTAAAATGTTTATCTTAATTGCTAATCTAGTCATTCTATTTCTCAAAACTTGTCTTTAAAAAAGAAAAGAAGGCTCTGCACTCATTTTCAATGACATATTTTGATATATTTCTTTATTTTCCCCACAGACTTTGATCACTGAACCTGGGTCTAGGGATAGTGAAAGGGGAGGTGGAACTGGAAGAACAGTGGCTGAGGATTAGAGGGTTTCTTATGCACATGGCTGGAGCTTATGAACATATATACATCTTGTCATGAGACTATAGGTTTTGTTTGCTGATTTAGTTTGTTTCTAGCCCCATTGCTTACCATTTCTCAGTAACTGCTGAAGTTAGTGTAGGTTTCCCCTGCTAGCTAAGAGAATCTTGAGGCAACTTGATGTTTACATTTGATTGATAATTGAGGAAACCTCCAAAATCCTTGTGTTTTTTTCTATAACCATTTCATACTTCTTAAATAGTAAAAACGTTTTATATTGGAGATTTCTCCCCCTTCCATTTCCCATAGACCTAAATTTTCTACCTTTATCACTTTATTTCTTCTTCAGGTCCATTTTTTAGGTTCATGCTTAAGTCCTGAGAAGCCACCTTATTTTAAATCTTTTCAACTTCTTTGAAAATGTGTACGCAGATTTGTACTTCTAGGGGCATATATTTGAGATGTAAAGGTTAGGAATGTGGCATATCTAAAAATTAATTGAAATAACTTAAATTTAATTGAAATATTTAACTTTATAGTTCTATGTGCTTGAGAGCAAGAAAACTTTCAACCAAAGGATTTGTCCTTGTCCAGGACAATTTGGTTTCAGTTAGAGGTAGTTTATTTGATGAGAATAGCTCATTTTCTAGTGATGCTAGATATCATATGATCATAATCTCAGAAATGCTTCCTTCCCATAGACAAACCTTTGACTATCCTCTGGGAAAGCAGGGAACTACATCTTTGAACCAGGGTAATATTTTGAGAACTGGGGCTATGCAAGGGAAAGAAATAAGATAAATATGGGAAATAATATGCAGTAGTATTTGCAGGAAAACTATTTACTTCAAATGATTCATTTGTTTTAAATTAAATAATTTATTACTCATGTATGTGGTAATAATGATTGACATTTAGAGATTCCCTCTTATTGTTCAGTTTCACAGTATCTTATAATTCTCCCATCTGCCTAATAATTTTATAAGGTACCTTTCATTGCACTAATTTAAGGGATGGGAACACCTGTAATGTAAATTTGTTCTGTCTTTACTGTGTCATTATACATCTCTATCTTCTAATTGGATTATGGTATACAAGTAAGGACACTCCATGAGTTTTAGAAAAGGGGTATGGAATTGGCATTGGATGAAGATATTAAAGGTAACAAATTACAAAGATATTTTATTTTATTTAACATTTGACTAATTTCCTTGGTTGCTCATTAGTTCTGTTTATCACTCTGACCCAGCCAGTATTAATTACAGCCCATAGGTTGGTCCCTGGTGCTTGTATTCTTTACTGATGGATAAGCTCAGTGACCATTGCTATAGGCCACTGGTGACTCTTTTATGGGGAGGAAAGGAGAGAGAAGGATGGACATATTCTGTTACAAACAAACACTTGTCCACTTGCACTGTGCATCTGGGAGAACTTGGCATCCTTTCCATTTTGCCCATATGTTTTCTTCTTAATTTTTAGTCATTTTTATTCCAGAATGGGGAGACATTGCATAGGTCTACTGCAACTTAAACTACAATAAAAAGAGCCTCTTTCCCTAGTCCTCTTTTCTCATAAGTTTTAGGAATGAATTAATAAGCGCCTAAAAGAATTTGCTTCTGGATAGGATCCTTGAAATCTTAAACCTGTTAGGAATAACCCCAGTGGTTGTTAGAAATAACTACGGAAAATGTTACACTGACTGATGTTTGTCCAAGGTGAATATTGAGGGTTCTAAGAACAAATCTCACTGGCTGAGTTCCAAAGTGCTGGGCTCCACCTCTGGGCTGAATAGCATTTGTGTTCAGAGAACTTGTTACAGTCAAGGTGCTGCTGATGTCCTTTGGGCAGGGCTTCAGAGGGCTTCTTACTGAGGTTGCCACTGGTCCAGTATCTCAGCTTTGTGTGTTCAGACGCTTAAAAGTTATCCTGTAATTTTTTATCCAAATATTCAGGGGGAAGCAGAAGTAAGTTGTATGTGTCGTGAGATAGTGATTAGATGAAATGTGGTTGTAAAAATGTTGATGATTTTCACAACCAAGTGATGAAAGTTCTCTATGCTATTTTTTGTACTTTTGTGAACATGGGACTATTTCAGAAATGAAAAGTTTTTTTAAAAAGAATGAGCTGAAAGAAATATGAGAAAAATGTTAACATCCATTATAAATGAGGGATGGGTATCTGTTATATTATTTTCTCTGTTAAAAAAATGATTTTGGAACATTTTAGGATTAAAACTTAAAAAATTTATCCCTTCATCCATGAGTGACTAAATACTAAGGACTATTTTCTGGTAACCAAACTAAGCTCGTAAGTTGTAGAAGAAATGTCAATTTGTCAGGCTTGATTTGTACTAACCAGTGCCCTTTCCAGTAGGAAAGAAAGGGGGGTTAATTATGGAGCACAGAGTAAGGCCAGATGGAGTCTGATACTAAGGGACAGAATAAAGTTATGGCAGTTGAAAGCAGGTCCCATCACGGCACTTACATAGCAAGTTAGGACACCTTGTTTTCTTGGAAAAATAGCATCAAGGTCTTATTCTTGGATATTGTTCTCTAAGACAACGTTCACCTCACTCACTATCTTTCTTTTCTGTCAAACCCTTTCCCATATATTACAGCATATTAAGTCACAATTTATGTTTTATGAGTTACATTTTATTTAGTCTCCTTGATAAGATTTAAGAAACATCTTGGTCTCCTCAATATTGCATTTAAAGATCACCTTATTGGTAAAAGTTTGAAATACTACCCCCAAGGACTTTAAGTGTATCTGTTTAGAGGATTGCATCCTACTTTATAGTATTTTTAGGTACTTCTCCAAGTGTTCTGCTGAGACACTTTAACAAAGATGTCACTTGAAGGTAAAGCAATTTAAAGTCGAAAAAAAGGGAGATTGTACTGAAACCTCCTTTATGATGCCCTATTGTCCATCTGTTTCTAATACCATGTTATAACTCAGATATTAGAGATATTTCTAAAACTATAAAACCAGTTTGTGGCATTCTATTTGACAACCTGATGACTTATTTTTTTACTTTCTAATATCTTCTTAATTAAGCATTTATTAAGCATCTTTGATGTGTTGAGCACTGTATTAGGCCCTCACGGCAGACAGTATATACCTCAGAGAACTGTTCTCAAGAAGCTTCCTGTCTAGTGAAAAAGATAATTTTAGAAGATGAAAAATAAAATTAAAATTATGTGTGAAATGTGTTAAAATGGAGTAATATACTAAGTTAGGATAAAGAGAATGATTATCTCTGCTTAAGAAATCACTTTTAAGAGGAAACTTAGGAATTTAGTTTTTAAAGATGATTGGGTATTTACCAGTTCAACAAGGAAGGAAAGACATAGGAGAAGCTAAGAATTTAAAACTGCAGGATAAATTTTCGGAACTCTGGTTGTTTGGTGTCCAATGTAGACTGTGTGTAGAGATGTTATGAGAGAGAAGATTCAAGATGTAGGCAGAGGCCAAATCAAAGTGAGCTTTGGACTTGATCCTTTTGTTAGAAAGCTGTTGAAAAACCTGAAATTTGGAACAACCTGATTGGATTACAAGGTAGCTCTGATTTTAAGGAGTAATGTGGAACTAATTGGTGACCATCGTATTCATCCAGATATTATGTAATGAGGTTTGCACTATGTTAGTAGTAGAAAAAATAAAGGATGGGAAAAATGAAAAAGAAGAAATTGTTTTAGAGGTAAGTGTCATATGAGAGGTGAAGGAGGGGGAGGTGAGCAGGTTTTCTGCTGTGGCTTACTGGTTTGATGATACTACAGATCATTAAGGCATGGGATAAAGGTGTTACAGGTTTTAGAAGTCAGAGTTCAGATTTAGACAGTGATTTTGAGAAACCTATGGTATGTCTAGAAGTGAAGAATAAGGAAGTAGATTTTTGTTTTGAGTTACAAGTACACAGACATAAGGTCTCAACTGGAGATGGAAATGTAGGATTTGTTGTCTTACAGATTTTAATTAAAACTACACACAAATGAATAAAAGAACTCCAACTAAAAAAGCAAATAAATAGGAAAAAATGGGCAAAAAACTTGAATAGGATCTTTATAAAAGATGGTATGCAAATGACAACTAAGCATATGAAAATGGAGCTTGACTTCATTAGACCTGACAGAAATGCAAAGTGATAGGACTTTCTAGAATGCCTAAAATGGAAAGAAAGGAAAAAAGACATTAACAAGTGATAATAAGGGTGTGGTGGCAACTGGAACATTCACTAGCTGTCGAAGTACTAGTTTATATTGGTACAACCATTCTAGAAAACTCTTTGACAGTATCTTTTAAAGTTGAACAAATGAACAGATGGGATCATTATCACCAGCAGTATACTTGGAAAATAGCTATGTGTGTGTGTGTGTGTGTGTGTGTGAGAGAGAGAGAGAGAGAGAGAAGAGAGAGGAAAGAAGGAGGGAGATTGATATGTAGTTTGCTAATCCTTTCACCATGGTTAATTTCAAGCTACAAATGGTTTAAAAAACCAACTTGCAAAATCCTTCAATGTTTGTCAGTAACTAGACAGCTGTTGCCCAACCTAGTAATTCCATTTCTAGACATAGCCAACAGAAATGCATATGTGTCAGTGCATAAGACACATACTAAAATGTTCACAGCAACTCTACTTGTAATGGATGGTAGAAACCAGAAACAACCCAAATATCTATTTATATTAGAATATGAATTGTAATATAGTCAGATAATAAAATACAACAATAAGAAATGGACTATTTAGAATCTAATTACACATTAATAGTAATGGGTGCTACAAACATAGTTGAAACCAGACAAAAAAGAATGTATATTTTTCAATTTATACAAAGTTCAATTGCAGGCAAACTAATCTTGTGTATTAGAAGTCAAGATAGTTGTTATCCTTATTTGGGATCATGACCGAAAAGTAACACAGTGAAAGGTGGGCCTTCTAGGGTTCATGTAGTGTTTCTTGATCTAGGTACTATTTTAAATGATTTACCTTTTGAAAATTCATTGAACTGTAACTTATGATTTATATAAACTGTAACTTATGATTTGTATATTTTTATGAATGTAGGTTTTTATGTCAACAAAAATATTTACATAGGGCAAAAAAGCATATGGGCAGACAGGAGATTACCCAGAGATGAGATATATAAAGTGAGAAGATGGGGGAGGGTGTAGCTCAGTGGTAGAGTGAATGCTTAGCATGCACAAGGTCTTGGGTTCAATCCCTAGTACTTCCATTAAAAACAAACAAATATACAAACTGAATTATCTCTCCCCTCCAAAAAAATTTAAAAAAAAAATAAAGTGAAAAGAGAAGAGTGACAGAACTTTGGGGAACACAGACTTTGTTCCTATTTCTTTCACCATTTTCTTCAGGACCCCTTTCTGCTTTTTGTATGAAAGCATTGCATAAGGTAAGGATAATGCTAAGAACTTTCTTTTAGAGAGTAGGACCGCTCTGTAGCATTTCTGCTTAGAGACTATTTCCAAGGGGACCTTTGGACTGAGTTTATTCTTAGATTTAGAGCTGGAGGAAGAACTACTGTCATGAGGAGACTACCTGAAGGCAGGAGATGGTGCTAACTGCAGAACAGCAACATTTTTCTAAACCCTCCTAGTGTGTTGGATCTCAGTAAGTGCACTGTAACCACGTCATCATCTCACAATGATATACTGAAATGATACAATTTGTGAATTATGTGGTTTGAGAAGAGGGGAAAGGAAAGGAATTCCATACTGACCATCTTCTCAAGAGTGCGTCTGAAAGTGGGGAGGGAGGTACTCGCAGTTAAACAGAAAGGTCTCACTACAGTGTATTCATGTATAATATTAGAAAAATGTCTGTTCATCTGGGCTACTGAATACTTGTCTCTCTTTTCCAGAAATGGCACAAAGTCTCTTGAAGACACCACCTATGCCTGTAAGGACAAAATTGCTACATCACATAGGATTGTCACTTTATAATACCTCTCATGGCTTCAATGAGGAAGAGGTGAAAAAAAAACTTCAGCAGTTCAGTGGTGGATCCGTTGACCTTCAGAAGGAAGACAATGGCATTGGCATTCTTACTCTGAACAACCCAAGTAAAATGAATGCCTTCTCAGGTATAGAGATCCTCCTTTTGCTAGTTGAAGAATGGCACTGAATCTAACCAGCTTTCACTTGATTTTTATCCTTAGTCTGTTGACAGAATTCTTGAAAGTCATGGTACTCTCTGTAGAACATGAAAAAAACAAAACAAAACAACCAACTATCATGTGCACCAGGAACATTTTTCTTTCCTAATTATGAATATTTTAATGTTTTTTTTAAAATCCATGAATTTAGATGTTGATAAAAAGGAAACCATCAGATTAATCTTGATTATTTTTTCTACTGAAATTTTAACTGCTTAATAACTTTGTGTTCAGCTAATGTCATTGGGAGACAATTGGAAGGATGTTTCAGAGATTTTAAAAACTAAAGACAAAAGCCTAAAATGAAAAAATAATTTATTCAGCTTAAATGTTTTTTTTATGAACTGAGCTAAGACTGTCATTTTAACCATGCAGTTCCAATAATCAGTGAAGACATGCATTTGCCTATTTGTTGCTCCTTTTCTAATTCTTAGATACAGGTAAATACCTTCTATTTGCTAGACAGCACATTGGCATATAAGAATTGTATATTTAAGAGATCTCAAGGTCTAGGACATGTGATAATTTGTAATTTTTTACCAAAGCTCAAATTTGAATTATGCTACCATGATTTTAGACAAGAGTTAATGAGTAACCTTGCTGACTACCCAGCACTTGTGTTTTGAGGTGATTTTGGCATTCTGTTTGTCAGTAAAAAAAAAAAAGCAAGACACAAGTGTGTCAGCCATACATATCCTTAAAAATTTTCTAGTAGTCATATTTTTTTTAAAAAGAAACGTAAAATAAATTTTAATAATAAATTTTTATTTAACCCAGTATATTCAAAATATTTCAACGTGTGGCACATACAGAATTACTGAGGTATTGGCCACGTCTTTGAAACGGGGTGTGTATTTTGCACTAACACAAGTCTCGATTTGGACTGGCCATGTCTCAAGTGCTCAGTAGCAACACGTGGGTGGTGGCTGCTCTGTTGGACAGTGCAGCCCCATACTTGCAGTTGGTTCAGAGAATAAAAGCCAGTTTTTATGTTAGCCTAGGAAAAATAAAATTAGAAAGGTAAGACTGCTCTAGAGGCTTTGACTAGGTTAATAACTGGTTTTAACTTGCTACTGAAGAGGTATAATTTATAATCTATTAGTAAAACTTTTTATTCAAGTGGGAACAAATATTAATTCTGATGCCTAATTTTTGAAGCTAATACAAGCAGAGCTGCTTGATTTGGGTAATGGTGTTCGGTTGGGTTCAGAGGAGATGAGTGAGACCCACACCACACAGCCCCCAAGGCCCCACCAGATACTCTTTAAGGTCCATTTCAACTCTTGCATTTATTTTACAAAAAGATTAGTTTAAGATTAACTATTAGTATAGATTTCTCATACTCAAGGCCAGCATTATTTTTTTAGTAGCTTAAATATTAGGAATGATTGAAGGTTCATATTTATCTACATAGATGTATGCTTACCCTAAATGAGTGGGGTTTTTGCTCAAAAACTACTAGACTGTGAATCTTTTGAGAGCAAGAACCAGATTTCTAAAGCATCTAGGATGTCCTTGGGAAGGGCTGCTGTTTTAACAAAGTCATAATTAGCAATTAGAAAGAATAGCTGCATTAGTCACTTGTGAATTAATAACATTAATTTTAACTTTTATTGTGGAACCACTTCACTACTAATTAGCTCAGACAATGGCAAAGAAAAGAATAGTTCTTGGCATCATGGAGTTTATATTCCAAATAAGTGTACATAGTTTCATAGGGCCTAAATAGTACATTTTGGAACCTCATGGTACAGATTCTTTGCCAGTTTTAATCTTCTGTTATGATCTTTATGTTGGCTTCTAAAGCATTTTCTTAAGCAGAAGAAAGAGTACAGTTAATCATACTGAGAGCATTATGAACTTGGAAGGTCACTCAGATAAATACATCTGAAAGAATGACAGTCTTTGCTGTTTCCATGTTAAATTAGCCCATTATAGAGAAGCCCCAGTAGAATTTTGTTATGATATTAAGGTAACAGTCTAATCTATAAATTACAGAATTGGTGGTTGGTAGACATCTAAGTGGCAGCCTGTGAAGCTGTCCCGTAGTATGCCTTGGGCTTCCTAGAACACAGTTTATTAACCATGGAACAAAATGATATTTACTGGTACTTTCTTGAACTAACATCCTGTTACAATAGGTCTGAAGTGAGTAGGGTAGGAATTTCACCTTTGTTTTGTATGCCATGTGCCCAATGTATCATAAGATCTCATAGTATTCTGGGTGACAGTGCTGTATTTGAGTTAGGAATACAGGCATAACTCTTATTCTGAGCTTGTTGACTAAGACACTTAAAGTGTATGGCTATGAGGTCAGGTCTACATTTCATTTTTACCCCAGGGGATAATTTTTTCTTACCATCATATCCTGTATTATTCATTCCAATTTTCCTAGTCCTAGGATACTCATGATATATTCTCATTTTTTCTACCTAGCCATCTATTTATGTGATTTCTTAATTAAGAGAGAGAAAGAGAGAGAGAGATCACTAACAAATTGTAAGTTTTTAAAGCAGAGGTTGTCATGGGTACCTCTGTTATATGTACTCCTCAGTACGAACATGATAGGCATTTGATAGACATTCAGAACATATTTGTAAAATTTATGATTTAAGAGTCCTGTTTGATACCTTATGGTTTCTAAATTATTTCTACTTTTCTGGTATTTTCTGTGTTTGTAATTTTCCCCTCCTGTCTCTGGCAGGCGTTATGATGCTACAACTTTTGGAAAAAGTGCTTGAATTGGAAAATTGGACAGAGGGGAAAGGTCTCATTGTCCGCGGGGCAAAAAATACTTTCTCCTCAGGATCTGATCTAAATGCTGTGAAAGCACTGGGAACTCCAGAGGCAAGTACTGCATGAATAATCAATAGACTCTACGTGTTTATCAGACATCTGTGACTGAGATACTTACATTCTGCTTACATGGTTATTATGAGGACAGCTATTCTTTAATAGCTTTACAAGGACCAGAGTTTTTGTTTTGCTAAGATTAGTTTGCAATAGCGTGAAGTAATTGGGAGAAAAATGAAGGACAGGGAGAAGAGTAGCAATGACCAAAGTCAGCCAGAATTTGAATTTTTAAGTGGAAGTCCCTAAGAATCTCATGATAAGGAAAATATGCGGTACATGTGTAAAGTGCCCGGCATAGCTTAGGCACATAGCAGGCTTCAATAAATGGTAACAGTCAAAAAATTTGCCTCTGGATTTTGATGATAGAAAAGGAATCCTAATCATCTTCCATTATTATCATTCCTCCAAGGAGCCTGTTTTTCTTGAACTCAGCCCTCCACCAACAGCCTCTGGGAAGGGGGAAGAGAAAGAAGAAAAATGAAAAAAAAAATGTATTTGTTGCCATTTAATTATAGATGTGGGCTGTAGGCAGGGAGTCATGTTTTAATGTTATACCACTCTATAAAATAATTTGATCTCTATTTGTAGAATATATGAGGAAAGATCTCTTTTTTGGTAATTTTGATAGATTTATATTTGAATTCTAGTTTCAACACCTTCTGGCTAAGGGATTGGACGAATCACTTATTCTTTTTAAGTCTTATTTTCCTAATTTATAAATAAGAATTGTACATTTCACAGAGCTGTTGTGAGGATTCAAGATAACGTAAAGTTCATACTAGCATGGTGTCTGAAAAAGGTAGCTGCTATTTTTCTCTCAAAGATCTTGATATTAATAAACATTGTCTATGATGATCATAATTTGTGGCACCACTGGACTTGAGTTTGTAATGAATCTGAATGGTTAGAGTAGTAAGTCGGAGATTAGAACATACGAATTCTTGCCCAAGCTTTACTATTAATTGCATGACCTGCAAGTCATTTGATGATAATTTTTTTTGATCTCTAAAATGATGTATTACTAGGTATCTTACTTTGTTCACAAAAGACACTGTAAAGATAGTATGAGATAATAGATTATTGTGGATCTGCCAGAAGTCAGGTAGGAAACCATCCCTAAAAATGTGAAAGGTTATTTTACTTTCTTCTAGTTAGAAGGTTGTTTCTGTCTCTTTAGATTATGTGCCCATGACTTTTCCCCCTATATATGTAGAAGCTAGAAGTGGAAACATGTTCATTGTTTCATATGTATATTGTGGGTCTGATGCAAATCACGTAGGAAAATACATGTCATTTTTATTCAGACTTCAGATAAGGGGTCACTTAATTAAGTTTATTCTTTCCAGAATGGACATTCACCAAGTAATCTGCTGTGCTGAATGACTGCAGGAGAGTAAGACTGACTTTTGATCACCACCTGATAACTCAGATGGTGTGGTCCCAATGCTTAAACAGCACTGCAGGCGTCCATCACTTGTAGTTATGCACATCTGCCAGTCTCATTAAAAAAAAATCAGAAGTTGTGATTCTGCTTACGGAGTGTGTGCTTAGAACCCAGACTGGTACTTAAAATACCTTATTTTATTTAAAATGCTTTTCTGGGTAGATGAATTCTTTATTGTACTTTTAAGAAACCTCCCTAGACATAGTATAGGAAACATATAGCATAGCAATGAACAATTAGAGTAAATTCTCTTCATGGATACTATTAAGAAACACAGTAATATGTATAAAGTATGGGGTGTATTTGCCATATGATGATTTTAAAATTAACAAGAACTAGAAATAGTTAACAGAAAGCTCCTGAAAACTGTTTCCATTTCGCATATAGAGCATATTCCTGTATGCCTGAGAAATAGCTATACGTACGCCTAAAACTGAAATTTAAAATGGCCTCGGGACTTGGGAGGCTCATACATGTGTATGAGTCATAGCTGCATGTAAAAGCACATCTGTCCCTCACAGCTGAGCTATTTGGAGACACTTATCATGACTTTAAGTTTTAAACAGCCTTTCTCTCAATGAGGCTCTTCTTTATCTAGTATACTTACTGTTCGTTGTTGCAGATACCTCATAGCACCTGCTTATTTGGTGAATTTGCTTTTCTGAGGATGATGAGATAACTAGAATAGTCGGTGTTTTTACTAATCGGATTACATTCCTTTCTGATAATAATAAGATACTTGAAAGTGACTATCAAATGGTGCTTTTTTTTAAAAAAAAAGATAATTATGTTGATGTTTTTGCCACTATTTTTTCAAAGTTTTAAAAAATATTTTACTAATGAAAATGACCAAATATAATCAAAAGTAGAGAGACTAATACGGTAAACTTCAGGTACTCGTAGTATCAACAAACATCAACATCGTATTTGGTTATCCATCGTTCCACTTTTTTTTTCTTTCTGCGTCTGGTCTTGTAAGAGGTTGGTTTGATTTTGGTGTCCTTTGTTTAATGAGCAAGAAAAGAGCTCCAACTGTTCCTATTAGGCAGTTAATCTTTGGTTGAGAAGATGAATTAGCATAACACAAGCATTAGCCCTGAGAAGTTATAGGACAGAAGAAAGAATAAAATAGGGGAAAAAAATCTAGTTTTTTTTTTTTTTTTTGGTAAGATTTGTAAGATTCAGGCTGGATGCTGCAGATGTTCTGTAGACAAGAAGTCTTTTCTCAGAGGGCAGAAATGATAAAAATCCGCTTATAAGCTTCAAGATACGGGGAAATAAAAACCTGCCTGCTCTGTGTTGAATGCGTTTAATGCCTCAAGGAAAAGTCTGGCATTTTAGAAACCCTTATACTCTTAATCTAGCTTGAAGATAACCTCCTCCTTTGTCCCATGGCCTCCCCTGTAACTTTTCTGTGAATCTCTTGCCCCCTGTTTGTCTGTCGCCTGAATTTCCACGGTAACCTCAAAGTTCTTGTGTAACTTCTTTGCCTTTGCTACTACTATTGTATAGTTCCATTTTAACCGTATGAATTTATAGACAAGCGATTATAATTTTCTCTAAACCTTTCTATGTATTTTGGGGAAATTAATAAATCTATACAACAAGCACTTAGCTAAAAAAAAAAAAAGAGGCCCATTTGTGATTCTAGGATAAGATACTGTCACAGGCTGGGCGTTTTCCCACTCAGGATAAATGTGGCTTAGAGTAAATATGATATTGATAGCTCCCTTTGGTGCTGGGGCTGGGCACTGGGCATCTCATCTCTGCTGCACTGGGGGAGCTGGAGGAGGCAGCATGGGTGTCAGGGTAGCACCAGATAGGGTGGAAGTATCCCCATCTGCAGCGACTCGCAAATCCTTTTAAAGGACTTCCCAGCTCCCAGTTTTCATTCATCAGAGCAGGTCTAGCTTTTCACTGGTTCCCTTCCCTCAGGTCATTCTATCACAAGTCAAGGTTTCTCTGTCACTGACTCATTTTCACCCTGTAGCCCAGGAAGAGACCTGAGCAGTTAACCATTGTTGGCTAAGTGGCTTTGGAAAACAAATTTAATAAATTAAATCTTTCTTCTTCCTAGATCATGTTGGTTGGTACAAAGTAATCTCTGCTTTATGATACATTTAAAGCCAAAACATACTTATTATCTGATTGCCAGTGCAATTACTGATATTAGTGATAGCAATGATAGATAACATTGTTCTATTACTATACGTCAGGCACTGTTCTAACCTCTTCCGTGCTATAACTTATTTATTACTAACTCCCCTAATGAGATACAGGTACTGTTACTAGCACCATTTTACAGGTAAGGGGACTGAGGCATGGAGAGGTTAAGTATCTTGCACAAATTCAAACCAGCTAGTAGGTGGTAGAACCCAGAGTCAAACCTAGGCAGTTTAGCTTGAGTCTGTGTTGTTAATCATCATTCCATACTGCTTTCATACATTTTAATGTGGCTTTTTATCTTTTGACTGCAAATTATAATAGTATATAGCTTAATACACGCTTCACTTTCATTTTTGCCAATTCTAGATATTTCCATCAGTATTTTAAGTACTCTAAAATCTAGTAATAGAAAATAGGCCTATTGAAATGATTTACTGAGATAATTTAACAGACTTTACAAGAAAAGTTTTTAAAATAATATAAATCGGTCTAGTTTTAAACCTCACTTTTTGTTCTTGTATTAATTTTCTCATCAGTTTATAGTATAGACTGACCTTCCTGATAAAGGCTTTCAATTAGGAAATTTGTATTATTTTGGTCTTTACAACTTTAACTGCCTTTGTTTTATTATTCAACATAATTCTCCATCTAAAATTCATCTGATTCAGTTAACTTCAACAAGCACGTACTGTATGCAAAACATTATACTAGCTTTTGAGGGTAAAGAAGGCATTTTGTCAGCCTCAAAGACCTTATTGTCTAGGCCTAGCAAATGCCTTCTGCCTTTCTCCTCTGTAAAGCCTTTTCAACTACTGCAACCCAGTTGAAATGAATTTCTTGCTTGCTACTGTTATCGGCTTGTTAAGGCGTTTCTTAAGTTACTTATCATCCTATGCCTTGACGCATGTTGCATTTCTCTATGCCTCATAAGATTTTTGAGGACTGGGAGCTGGGACCACATTCTACTGATTCGGTGCCCTTACCTTATCTTGTGTAGGTGATGTGTCTGATAATAAATCCAAACACAATGCATACAAGACAATCTATAAATTCTGTAGTTAAATTACAAACATAAAAATACTGCAGAAACGCAAAGGAGAAAGCTGTTAGTGTGGGATTTAGTAAATCTTGATAAAACATATTTCATCTGAGCATTCCTTGAAACAGGTAGAGAAAAGGACAGGCTGTTCCAAATAGTGGGAATGATACGAGCAGAGACACAGGAACAACAGTAAGTGTGCGCGTGAAAGGAATGGCACACAGTTTGATGTGGCAGAAGTTAGGGTTCTTGGATGGGGGGGTCAATACAGTTGGTAAAATGGTTTGGGATCAGTCTTTCCCAAGGAATTTAGACTTTCTCCTATTGGTGATACGAAGTTATCATCCTTTAGGAAGGTTTATCCGATGGCTGGATTCAAGATACATTACAAAGGAATAAGAAAGTAAATGCAGAGAGACCTGTTCGGAATCAAGGCTGTTGTAATAATCTAAGGATGGGTAACACAAGTCTGAACTGGTGTAGAGACAGTGAGAATAGAAAAGGGATTTACACTGGAAATATTCAAAGGAAGAACTGAGGGGATGTGCTGGGTAACCAACTGAGTGTGGGAAAACTGTGAAATGGAAGAGTCAGAGATAATACCAAAATTCTGAGCCTTGTTTGACCACAAAACTTTTTCCTGCCAACTCAAAACTCTCTCTGTGGTCTTTTACAGAATGTTTAGGTACATTTTCATCTTCTCAGCTATGCTTTAAGTCAGATATAACAGGTATTTTTTATTCTTCACTCCTTCCTTGTGGATGAGGAAACTGAAGTTTATAGTTGTGACTTGCTCAAGTTTATGTTCTTATTAAGAGGTAACATTAGGATTAAAACAGCTTTTTCACTCTCTCAATTGGTTTTGCCATGCTGAACTTTAAGTATTGGCAGAATGTGAAATTTCTAGCAGGTTTGGGGATTCTACATGAAAACAACAGTTGAAGCAATGGGAATGGCTGAGACTTCCAAGGAGGAAATTGTAGGTAAAGGAGAGAAAGAGAATCATGGATTGGATTTTTGGTAATACAGCAGTTAGCCGAATAAGGAGAGACAAAGAGGAAAACTAGAAAAGAGCAATCAAAGACATAGGAAGAGGATCAGGAGTGGAAAATGTGGCTAGAAACTCAGAATATCAAAGTGAAGAAACTGGTCAAGGCAAGATATATATGTTTGGTCTCTGGAGAGACCGAGGAAGATGATGATAAGGAAAAGTCTTTATTTAATTTAAAGCCTAATTTAACAAATAGGAGATTATTAGAAACCTTTGAGGAGAGTCTTTTGAGAGAAGGCTGAAGACCAGATTATACCAGGTTGAAGAAAGTATATGAGGAAAAAAAGAAAAGGCAGTGAAGTTACACTACAGTTAAGAAAATTTGTTTTTTACGTATTTATATTCTTAAGGGATCAGAGTTTGGGATAATAGGTGGGTATGTCTTGTGCCTCTTCCCCCCTAATTTCCCTGAGTAGATCTCCACACTTTTCTGGAGTGTGTGATCTGACCATCACAGCTAAGTCTTTGCTAAGTCTTCACAGTAGCATGCAAGGCTGAGACCAAGGAACCCCAGAAGATCAACACAGTCGAACACTGCATCATTTGCATGTTAGATAGCATCAAAGAGTTTTAAATGAAAATCTCATTTTAAAAAGTTTGGTATATTTTTGTTTTTATTACTTTCTAAATACTGAAAGTGTGAAAATGTTTTTAAAAATTTTCTTCTATAATACGTTTGTGTTATACCTTTGTGTTTATTCTTATTTAAAGGATGGAATGGCCTTATGCATGTTCATGCAAAACACCTTAACAAGATTTGTGAGGTAATGTATCTTTTCTTTTTTTAAATACAATTTCTAACCAACAAGGACCTACCGTATAGCACAGGAAACTATACTCAACATCTTGTAATAACCTATAATGGAAAAGAACCTGAAAAATAATGTATATATATGTATAACTGAATCACTTCACTGTATATCTGAAACTTATACAACGTTGTAAGTCAGCTATACTTCAATAAAAAAGTTAAAAAAAAGAAGAAAGAAAAACACACACACAAATAAAAATAAAAACAATTTCTAAAAATCCAGAAATAGCTGTTTATTATTCTGTGTTTTGCAATAGTTAAAAAATAGTCACTGATTTTCTAATTATATTTATTCTAGTGGTAAAATATCTATTTGTGCCATCAAGAAAAGTCATTTAATTAAATGTTAGTGAAGTACACACAAGTATTTAGAAAATAAGAGACATGAGAGATAAAAAGAATTTAAGACATAGCACTTTCCTCTAAAGAGCTTTATATTACCAGCTATATTTATAGACATGGGAAAATTAAATACTGATATTAGAGCAGAATAGACACTGGTCAAGAGATGACATCTAAAGATGACCTACATTCAAATTTAGTGGAATATGTAGTGAAGTGGTCTCTATCTCAAGGAGAGAGAAAAAGAATTACCAATTGGAAAGCCTTTTACAGATTTCCGAGGAAGATGAATTCACTTTGCACCTAGATGAGGGAAAAAAGGAAGATATTCTTCTTGGCCTGTCATGATGCATTTGAGGTTACAGGGCCGATTAGCTTTCTACTTCCATATTCTGAATGTAAACAATTTAAACGTTGTGAAAAATAAGGAAATTCATATTTATTTAATATACTTGTTAATTATACATCACTGTTTTTTTTTCTTTTCTTTCTTTTTTTTTTTTTTTTTGGTATTCTCTGTATGTAAGAGTCTAGAAAGAAAAATGGAATCAACATTACTCTTCTAAAATACTTTTTCATTGTCTTAGCTCCTGTTCACCTACCTCTCCCTATTACATTTGACTTTTTCCTAAATAAATCTTAAGTTTTTGATTTAAAAAATCCCTTTTATTTGGAAGCAGTGTGTGTTAAGAAATTTTTAATTACTTTAGACCTGCACCTTTTCATTTTGGTGAGAACCTACAAAAAATTCTATACTTCGAAACATTTCAGATTTATCTTTTAATATTCACACACCTCCTCTGCAAAGTGGGTCTTTACAAACACGAAAGGTGAAGGTATGTTTTTACTTCAGAACCATGACTACAGAACCAGATTTATACAGGATCAGTCTCTGGATCACTTCAGTTGAGTAATGAACAAATTTTGATAGGAACCTTCATAATAACACAGTTTTGGAGCTCAGTCTTCTATATCACATTTCTTCCCTTTGGATACAGCCTCAATTTTCCCATTTATAACCTGATATCAGTAAAATGGACTAAGACAATATTACATTGAATTATTCTGATTTGCAGTTGCAGAGAGGTTCCAGGAGCTGTATACAGGGCAGATATTGTGGGTTGGATTCCAGATTGCCCCCATAAAGCAGTATCAAAATAGAGCAAGTCACACAAATTTTTTGGCTTCCCGGTGCATATAAAAGTTATGTTTACACTATACTGTAGTCTATTAAGTATGCAATAACATTATATCTAAAAAAAGCAATGTATATACCTTAGTAAAATACTACTTTGTTGCTTAAAAATGCTAACCATCATCAGAGCCGTCAGCAAATTGTAATCTTTTGCTGGTGGAGAATCTTACCTCAAAGTTGAAGGCTGCTGACTGATCAGGGTGGTCGTTGCTGAACATTGGGGTGGCTGTGGCTATTTCTTAAAATAAGACTATGAAGTTTGCTGCATTGACTGACTCTTTCTTTCACGAACAATTTGTCTGCAGTAGCATTTTACCCACGGTAGAAGGTCATTCAAAATTGGAGTCAATCCTCTCACACCTTGCCTGATTTATCGAATAAGCTTTATGGAATATTTTAAATCCTTTGTTGTTATTTTAACAATATTCACAGCATCGTTACCAGGAGTAAATTCCATTTCAAGAAACCATTTTCTTTGTTCATCCATAAGAAACAGCTCCTCATCTGTTGAAGTTTTATAATGAGATTGTAGCCAGTCAGTTACATTGGCAGGCACCACTGTAGTATGAATTGTTGTATCTTCAGTATTACACTGGATTTGCTGCTTATGATATACAAGCATGCGGTTCTACTGTCCTTTGAGGTGTGTTTGTTATTATAAATGTAGTTCAGTAATTTTGTTTCTACTGCATCTTAAAATTTTTAATAACATTTATAAATTAATATTGAAATTTAAAATAGTAACATCCATTTTTCCTTTTTCCTCCAATATACAGACTTCCTTTAATAAGTGTTGCACTTGTTCAAGGTCGGGCATTGGGCGGAGGAGCAGAAATTACTACAGCATGTGATTTCAGGTAGGATTAAAAATTGTATTACTCTTGGCATAAACGTAACTAACACATGCTCAAATTTATTTTTTTGCCTGAATATAAATAGTGTATATATTCTTACACAGGATAATCAATTAGCAGATATTTCCTTTTTGCCAATCATTAGAGTAGATAATTTTAGTCAGTCTAATATAACTCCATCATTACTTTGTTACTGTGCATTTCAAGCAGTTAACAAAACAAAATGATTCTGAATTAATCAAATCCGTATTAGCAAAGTCCCTGGAGAAGGAAACCAAGGAAATATATGAAACTTTAAGATTTAAAAGAATTATACAAAGAAAAGAACCCTTCCCCCACCCCCCCAAAAAAATCTAAAGGAAAAAAGAATGGAGAAAAAGTCTGCTGTAGTTGTCTCCTTATTAATAAAAAGTTTTCTGAGATCCATTTGCTATCTTTACTGTGATTTGTAGTAACTTTGTGATTTTGGGCTGATTAGGGAATAAACTTAGAGAAAGTTATTTGGGACCAACAAACCTTCAATTTCTAGAATTCTTTTCAGTATTAAATTGCAGTACTTTATAGGAATGATGCAATTTTGGTAAGGTCTTTTTTGTTTTGGTTTTGTGTGTATAAAACATAAATGTAGACTTTAATGACTTGCTACAAAGTGGGAACCTATGTAACCATGTTGTAGGTCAAGAATTGGAACATTACCAGCACTCCAACCCCCCACCCCCACATGCCCCTCCTGTCTTAGCCCCCTCATTTCTATCTACAGGAAACTATTACCTTGAGTTTCATGATAGTTACTTTCTTACTTTCTTTTATAGTTTGTATGCTAACTATTCTGTAACCAATAGAGTCTATTTTTTCTTTTCTAACGTTATATAAATGGCAACATATACTAATAGAAATACTATGAGGAAAGATTCAGTAAGCTAATTCGTGCAGAGTAGTAACATTTTATATTAATTTGTCTTCTTTTTTAAATCTATGACTCGGTTTTCAATTTATAAGTTGAAATATATCACTTTGTATTCACATAAATAGAGACTTTAAAATAGTTTTGGTATGTAAGACAATTTACAAAGATTTCAGCTTCTTTGAAAACTAATACTTCCTAATTGGAAAGGATTCTTGTACATGATGAAAATGGCCATTTCATGACAGTGCCCTCTGCTGTCATCAACGTAGAGTGCATCAGGATGCTACATTTCGTTCTGTGAGACAATGTGGGGCTAAATATAAAATGCTCTGTGTGAAAAAGGATTAAATACTTTTGTCACTTCACCCTGAAATACAGATACTTATAGAATATGTAATATAAATGTATAATTATATAACATATAATATATAAAGTATAATAAAGTATATAGTTAAATACATAATTTAATATATTTAAAGAATTCTAAGCCATGTGTGAAAGTACATTACTACACTTAAAAATCATCTACATAAAAGTAAGTTCAAATTAAAACTTTACAGGTGTACTTTGGAGAAAGTGTACCCTCTAATATAGAGTCTGGTGTTCATCTTTAAGTATTTATTAGACTTTTGCATCAACCTTTATATTTATTCCTGATCTATGTTTGGGTGTAGTTAGGGTTTAAGGCAAAAGGCAAAATCACAGGGAAAAATAATCAGAGATTGTTTACTCCTTTGCCACTGCTAATTTACCTTACTGTGTTCTCTAAATGAAGGAAGTATCATGTGTCCTAGAACCTCATGAAATATTTATTTTTTTTGGTCAGGAGGTGTCTGAGGGTACTGCCCTCATCAGGCATATTCAGTAACATACCAGATACATTCATTTTTCCAATGAAGACATATTCATTTGTGGGCCAACTATTTGGCATATACAGGACACTCATATTAAATTGAGCTCAGTAGATTCATTAAACATGTATTTAGCACCCATTTATACTAGGAACTGCCATTCAAGAAACTTTTATGTCTTGGTTTTTGTTTAATTATTCTTGTAATATAGTTTTATTACATCTTATAAAATTATTGGTCCACTGACATGAAACTAAAAAAATAGAAACTGATCCTTCATAACAAAAGTGTGAAAAGCGCAGTCCTAGACTTGTTTGGCCCTTTTAAATTGACACACTAAATGCAAAAGTTCTTAAAACTTAAAGGCTAACAGAGAAGATTATATACCAAACTATATTCCTAGTCACAGCTGCAAGGAAGCAATAAATTAATACAAGTTCTCTAGCTGATTCCACCCCCTCCCAACTTTATCAACACCGTGTCAGTTGTCTTCTGTGACAAACTGCTTTAGCTATATTCTAAAAAGATCTGCTTGTTCCAAAAAAAAAAACACCAAAAGATTTCATAGCATTCTGCTAAAAAGGTAAGTTCTTTCCTTAGGCATATATTTTGGTTCTTTTTAGCTTGTTTGACTTTCTAACTTAGAGAATGCCTGGAATCCACTCAACCGACACTTTCATTCCTGCTGTTCTTTTATTACTGGAAACTATTTCAGAAGATGAGAGATATTCTTAACACAAATATTCCAAAGAAGTGAATTCATACAACATTCTGGCATTGCCCCTCTCCCTGTTCCCAAACCCTTTAAGCACCAGCTGATTATACATGTAATGAATGAATATGTTAGAAACACTCAGGACTACTTGGCATATACAGACCTTCATACTAAACTGCTTTCAACTGAGTCATAAATTTCATGTGAAACATTCTTATAGAAAATGGCTTTTTAAAAACATTTTCTAAAACGAAACATTAACCTATGAATTGAAAAGTGACATTCCATAGTGCTCAGAATCTAGTCACTCCAACATTATGTTTCCCTTTAGTGACAAAATGGATGAGGAAATAAAAAGCTAGAACTGTGATAAAATAATTTGCCTCTAATTTTTAAAATTTGTCTTGATTAATTAAAAATATCTAGAATGAAATATAAATTAAGAAAATATTTATTTGAGTATTAGTTTCTTGCTGCAGCCATAACAGATTACCACAAATTTGGTGACTTAAAACAGTATCAGTTTAATTATCTCACAGATAGGTAGGTACTGAAGTCTAATGGGGCCCAGCTGGTTTCTGCAGACTTGGTCACATAAGGGCACATCTGCATGTTGGCTGGATTGGGTTCTGAGGACTCTGAGGGAGCATCTGCTTCCAGGCTCATCCAGGTTACAGCTGGCAGAATTGAGCCCCTTGCACAAGTAGGACTGAGGTCCCTATTTTTCTTGCTGACTATCCGCCAGAGGCCAGTTTTGCCCCTAGAGGATGCCTGCATTCCTGCTCCTGTTTTCCATGTGGGCCTCCTTCAGCAGTGGTCAGTTAAGTTCCTTTCACATATTGAACCTTTCTCATTTACCCTTCTGCTGCAGCTCTGACTCTAGCTGGAGAAAGTTTCCTGCTTTTAAGAGCTCATGTGGGCCCACTCAGATAATCCAGGGTAATCCCCCTATTTTGCTATATGTAACCTTAATTACATCTGTACAGTCCCTTTTGCTGTGTGAAGTAACATACGCACAGCTCCAGGAATTAGGGCATGGACATCTTTGTGCGGCCGTTCTACCTACAACATATGGGCTTGGCATAGAGAATACAGTTGCCAGATTTTTTGCTAACTTTTATATTCCTTTCTGATCGCCAGTGAAAACTGGTGACTTTGTTATTCTGTTACCCTCATAAACTGTATCTTTTTAAATTTTTGTTTAGATACCTTTTAGAAAACATTAGTCAAAGTTCCTGTATACACCAAATTTATAAAGGTTCACTGATAAAAATATCTCAAAACTACCCATGAAAATAGAAAATGACAAACTCAGCCTGCTTGACTTTTCAGCATCAATTTTTGGCAATCAAAAGCACAAAAACAGTTTAATTACATGTCTAAATTTTCTTTGCCACTGAATTTGGTATAAGAGAGAAATTGGAATTGTATTTTTTGTTTGGAAATATAGGCCCTCTGTATCTGTGGATTCCACATCTGAGGATTCAACCAACCAAGGATGGAAAATAGTTGGGAAAAAATTTTCCAGAAAGTTTCAAAATATTTAAATATTCAGAACTTGAATTTGCTAGGTGCTGGCAACTATGTACATAGCATCTATATTGTATTAGGTATTACAAGTGATCCAGAGATGATTTAAAGTATATGGGAGGATGTGCGTGGGTTATATACAAATACGGCACCATTTTACATAAGGGAATTGAGCATCCAAGAATTTGGTATCTGCAGAGGGTCTGGAACCAATCTTGGAATGGACAAAGAGTTTCCCTACTCACTTAGACTCACTAGTTTTTAACATTTTGCTATTTTGGTTTTGTTTTTCACTTCGTGTGTGTGTGTGTGTGTGTGTGTCTGTTTTTTATGTATAATACATATAATAATTTTTCCTGAGAAATTTAGGAGTAGGTTGCAAACATCTTGCTCTTTTACTGACTTAATTAATACACACACACACACACACACACACACACACAAATATGTATATTCTTTTTTAAGAACTAGAATATTCTCTTACATAGTCCCAGCACAATTGTTGAATGTAGGAAGTTTTACATTGATGCAGTGCTTTTATCTAATATACTGTCCATATTCCAGGTGTGTCAGCTCGGCACTAACCCCCAGTATAGCAGTGTTTCCCTCCACTGCAGGACTGTGTACTGCACTTAGTTGTCAGAGCCCTTTTCTCTCTTTTAGTCTGGAAGGATTCTTCGGCCAACCCTTGTCTTTCATGACTTGACATTTTTAAAGAAAACAGGCCATGTTTTGTTTTTTGTTTTTCAATAGATTGTTCATTGCTTTGGTGTCTTCTGATGATTTGATTCAGGTTATGTATCTCTGGATAATACCCCTACAAAAGGGATATTGTATTGTCAGAATATCACATCTGAACACACACAATGTCTTTCTGCCTGTCATTGGTGATGCTAACTTTGATCACCCTGTCAAAGTGTTTGGTTTCTCCACTGTGATTGCTTTTTTCCTTCTTGCAACTAGTAAGTAATACTCTTCTTTTTGCCAAACTTTCTCCACT